GTAGAATTGTCATTTTTATTCCATTAGCTCGGCTTATCCATGAGCAACTGATGTTTTTCCAATTATTTAGATCTGACTTTATTTGCATGAAAAGTGTTTTATAATTGTGTTCATAGAGTTCTTGGGTTTGTTTCAGGAGGTAGGCTCCTAAATATTTCATAATGTCTACAGTAAGTTTAAATGGAATTTCTCTTTCTATCTCTTGCTGTTTGGCTTTGTTGGTAATATATAGAAATGCCAATGATTTATGTGGGTTTATTTTATAGCCTGCAACTTTGCTAAAGTTGTTTATTATTTCAAGTAGTTTTTTTTACTTGATTCTCTGGGATCCATTCAAATTTTTAAGGAATTATTTTCTTTTTTTAATTAATTTATTTTGAAGTATCAACAATCACTTCCATAAGCTTTTGAGTTTTAAATTTTTCTCCCTCTCGTTCCCCACCTCCCTCCCCAAGACAGCACACAATCTGATATAGGCTATACATATACATTCCTATTAAACATATTTTCACATTAGTGATATTGTAAGTAAGAAATAGAACCAATAGAAGGAACCACCAGAAAGAGGAAACAAAACACAATAGAAGAAAATAAATAGCAAATAGTGTGCTTTGATCTGCATTCAAACTCCATAGTTCTTTCTTTGGATGTGGATAGCATTTTCAGTCAGGAGGCTTTTGGAGATGTCTTAGATCCTTGTATTGCTGAGAAAGGTTAAATCTATCAATATTAGTCATCACACAAGGTGGCTGTTGCTATGTACAACATTCTCTTGGTTCTGCTCACTTCACTCAGCATCAGATCATCCAAGTCTTTCTGAGTTTTTCTGAAGTCAGCTTGTTCATCATTTCTTATAGCACAAGAGTATTCCATTACATTCATATACCACAACTTGTTCAGCCATTTCCCAATTGATGGGCATCGTCTCAATTTCCAAATCTTTGCCACCACAAAAAGAACTGCTATAAATATTTTTGTACATGTGGGCCCTTTTCCCATTTGTATGATCTCTTTGGGAGGAAATATTTTCTTCAATGAGCTTTTCGACTTCCTTTTCCATCTGGCCAATTCTGTTTTTTAAAGCATTCTTCTCCTCATTGGTTTTTTTGGACTTCTTTTGTCATTTGGGTTAGGCTATTTTTAAAGTGTTATTTTCTTCAGTATTTTAGGGATCTCCTTTAGGAAGCTGTTGACTTGTTTTTTATGACATTCTTGCATCACTCTCATTTGTCACCCCAGTTTTTCCTCTGCTGCTCTTACTTGCTTCTCAAAATCCTTTTTGAGCTCTTCCATGGCCTGGAACCAATTCATATTTTTCTTGGAGGCTTTGGATATAGGAACTTTGACTTTGTTGTCTTCTGATTGTATGTTTGGATTTTCTTTGAAAATTCTTTGAAAATTTCTTTGAAAAAAGAAAGATTCTATGGTCTGACTTTTTTTTTTTGCACAGTTTGCTCATGTTCCCAGCTAATTCCTTGAGTTTTAAACTCTTTGTTAATGTTAGGCTTTGTTTCCAGTGTGGAATGTACTGTCCCAAGCTTAGGGGGTTTTGTGCAGTCGTTTTCGAGATACTTCTAGGGACCTGTAAATTTGCAGTTCTTCCAAGGTGGTATGATCAAAGGCGAGGTGTTTACTCCTTTCCTGGTCTGGGATTTGGTCTATGTGACCACAAATACTCTTTTCTGCCTTAGAACTGTGAGGAGGATTCCCTCTCCACCACCACCACAAACTCCAACACACCAGCACTCCTCCTTGCCCCAGGACCGCCACCCAGAATTGTGACCCAGATCCAAGCATGGGCAAACAAGAGAATCCTGCCTCAGCTCCAGCAAAGAGATCCCTTCATTCCCCTTCTAATCAGTCACTTGATTCCCCCTCCATCTGTGAGCCTAGAGCTCCAGAATCAGCTGCCACCCTGCGGATGTGCTGGGACTGAGGCTGAGACCAAGCTTCTCTCACCACAGTCACAGACCTTTCCTACTGACTTTCTAAGTTGTCTTTGGCATTTGTGGGCTGAGAAGCCTGGAAACTGCCACAGCTGCCTATGATTCAGGTCTCCTCCAGGTTTGCTGTGGCCTCATCTTTGCCTGTGTGCCCACGGTAAACTGTACTCCTCTCCTAGCCTGGTGCAATAGACCTTTCTAATCAACTATCCAGGTTGTCTTGGGCTGGAAATTTGTTTCACTCTGTCTTTTTGTGGGTTCTGCTGCTCTAGAATTTGTTTAGAGCTATTTTTACAGGTATTTGGAGGGCTTTAAGAGAGAGCTCAAGAGTCACTGCTTTCGCTCCACCATCTTTGCTCTGCTCCTAACTTTTGCAAATTTAAGGAGCTTTAAGTGAATAATTAGGAGTCTACTGCAATAATAATTCTTAATAGCATTGATGGTATCATATATCTCTTTATGCCTTAAAACCCATTGCTTTGTAGATAATCAGTAAATGTTATTGATTGTTATGTTTAGGTGTTCTGAACACAGTAAGTGCTTAATTAATGTGGTCAAATAAACAAATAATGATGACTGACAAAGAAGATGCTACCCTCTACCTTGAGGAAAACTCATTCCTTTCCTTTAGACATTATCATGCCTTAATGTGCATTGTTACAATGCATTAGGAATCACAGGAAAGATTTTGCTGCTTTTTAGCATTTATTCTAAGATTCCTGAAAATATCTACTCCAGAATCAGATATCCATAAATTTGCAAAAGATCATTCTCTGTCTCTCTGCTCTTCTTAGTGAAAAGGACTCTAGTGCTCTTTGGTTATTGTTATATTTTTAGCTTTTTAATCACCTCCTGATAAAGAGGAACAGTAAACAAGTATTAAAGTGTCCATAGTAATTTGAAAATGGTGCTATCCTGGAGACACAGAAACTCAGCACATCAGTCAACAGTTTGTAATCATTAGTCCCCTCACTGAGTTGGAAGCTAAAAACAATGAAAGAGAGAATGCTTTCGAACTCTCTGTAGGAAATATTTTCTACAGATTAGGGTTTAGATCCATTTATGAGGGGGAGTGGAGGAAGGAAATTTCTATATTTGTTTGTTTCTTAATGTTAGACATTTTCTCCTACACATATAGATAACATTATAAGAGCCATTATGACACATCTTGTATTTCACCCTAACTTAAAGAACAGGAGAAATGAACAGACCATCAACATGATGTTATCTAAGCTATGTTTTGGTCAAATGAACATGAAATTTTGCACATATAGACTTGGTTAGTCATAAATTAAAAGATCTGAGTGAAAGAAAAATGCATAGAATAGGAAATTGAATTTAAAAGCCTATTATGAGTTGATTAGGACAGAGGTCTGTATATTACATTTTTATGATAACAATGCTATCATTATCCCTCATCTTTTTGTTTGAAAGATTATTTAAAGTAAATATGGTCTGATTTCTCCTGGATTAAAGTTTTCTTTGATCATTAGATCATTAGAGTATTTATTCGCGAAGAATGTTATGAAGTCATCTGGGAATAAAATGTTCTAATTTGGTCAATGAATAGAATTGAAACTGTCAGTGAACAAAATCTACATATCCTCAGTCTCAATAATATAAATATGCTTCATTAGGGAAACAAAAATGAAATGATATTGAGACTATAGATATAATATGTACATATATTAAAAGATGCTATCAAGTGATTGTATGGCATGAAGAGAAAATTGCCTAGTCAAATGGAAAACCAAGGGATGAAAGGTACACAACCAGAACGTGTTACTAGTACCCTTCAAGTATAAGGAAGAAGACAACCAGTACAAAGGCCGTTGTACCTTCCCACTCCATCCAAGCTCTCCCACTACCCTTCCTACCCCCTCAATGCATTGTGGTGAACATTTCGGAGATTTTGGACAAGATTAATAATTGACGGGCATGGCTGGATGCATCATGATCTGCATTGTTGCAGGATAATCTTGGATTTATGTGATCATTTGTCCATTTAAGATAGAATAATAACTACAAAGATGAAAAAAATTAGGAGGTGATAAAGATGATAAAGATAATGGGCAGGTAGGTGGAAAAATACATAGAGTTCTGGGCCTGGAGTCTAGTAAATCTGGGTTCAAATCTGGCCTCAGACACTTATTTGATCCTGTTTGCCTCTGTTTCCTCATCTGTAAAATGAGCTGAACAAAGAAATGGCAAACCACTCCATTATCTTTGACAAGAAAATCCCAAATAGGGGTCACGAAGAGTTGAATGCAACTTGAAAAATGCATAAACAACAACAGATGATGATAGTAATAATAATAAACTAAAATGTATGCAACATTTTACAGTTTATGAATCATATGATGCATCACACAAATAGGTAAGAAAACTCAGATATATTCCCTTATGATTCAATCTGATATTTTAAAATATTTTGTCAAAATATTAAAATATATTAAATATCATTTTAAACATTTTAAAAGATTTTACTTACCCTCTATGTAATATAACACTATATCTTTTTCAATGCTTATATCAGTAACCATTCCCCCCCCTTACAGAAACAAACACTGGTCATGGCAAAATTTTTAAAAGATATTTAATAGTGTCTACCATCATAACTTGTATATGAATCTGCTAAATAAATATTCATACTTAATGAACAAATGAAGAAATAATGTAAGATAATTCAAGTTAGCATAAAATGTGCACAATACAACATCATATTTTGTTTTTGCCTTGATGAATTCTACTTTGTCAAACTGATGGCAGTTTTGGAAAGACAATGAACTTGTATTCAGATGATAAAGTTTCAAGTTCTGTCCTTTCCCCTTACTCGCTTTTCTACTTTATGGAAGTCACTTAGCTTTTCTAAACCTTAGTTTTTGTCATTTGGGAAGATAATAATACCCATTTTTTTCCTGCCTCACAGAGTTATTATTAGGATTGTGGGAATAAAGAAGGTGGAAGTACTTTGACAAAGTGTGAAGCTCTATATGAGTATAAGGCATTATTTCTTTTCTCAACTTATACCACCATTTGTTTTCTGCTTTGTTTCAGAAATTCCACATATTGTATGAAAGTGTCCATTTCACTGACTGTGGGTGAAAATGACACTGGACTCTGCTACAATTCAAAGATGAAGTACTTTGAAAAAGCTGAGCTTAGCAAAAGTAAGGAAATCTCATGCCGGGACATAGAGGATTTTCTAATACCATACAGAGAGCCTGAAATCCTGTGGTATAAGGTAAGGACTAGAGAAGATTGGATTCCTTATAATGAATTATTGTAAAATATTATAATAAATTCTTGTAACAAATTATTGTATCTTGTTATAAATTATAATAAATTATATAATGAATTCTAATAAATTCTTAAATTATTGTTGGGTTTGGAAGTATTTTCAATGTTGTAAACCGTTTAAAGGGACATAATACAGTTTATCTCCTATTCTCTTGAGACTGTGTTGTTTCAATTATTATGAGACTTCTTGTTGCTTTGAAAGGATTTAGTCAGTTTGGTTAGCTATAGGGAAGAACGAACTGTATGAAATCGTGTGTTAACTTTCTCTTTTGAGATGATTGTTATGATTTTTTTTTAACCTCTGTTGATTTGGTCAGAAGTGGAAAACATATCATCTACACATTTTTACCCCAGTGGGATGGACAATACAAGAAGGACCCTAAAAAGAGAATAGCAGCAATTGACTAGAAACTCTCCAGTATAATTGTATGATCATTTCCATTGGATCTTTTTCCAATATGAATCTTATTATTTCTAGTTTTCTGAACTTCCAACTGAAAAAACTGGAGAAAAAAAATTTTTGACAAACCTCATGGAATTTACATAACTGCATTGGAATATAGTTGTTTCTTCACAACTCAAAATAATTTTCATAGATGAAAATAAAAATCTTACCCTTATTTCCCCTGTACATAATTGGAACCTGATACCAATGAAAGACCCAAACTTTCATCAAGTTTATAGAATTATAATATATTCATTAGCTTGTTTATGCAACAAAAATTCTACTTATTGAATATGAATAGAGAACAGTAAAGCTTTCATGTAAAAAATCACTGTGGAATGCTTTATCTGTGGCTGTATAATGTCTGGAAACTATAGATGCTCTCTGGAAGTAGGATATTGGACTTATGAGTAAGTTTTAACCATATACCCTAAAATATTTCCTACATGGCCAACTGGACCAAAATAGCAAGCCACAATTATCCAGTATTCTGGTCCAAATATTTGTTTGATTTTGGAAGGTAATATCATTATGAACCTTATGTGTTCTAGAGTCATCATTCAGAAGTTCTGTAACACATTAAGGTACTGAATTGATTTCTTTTTACTTCAGGTCAGAAATTGATCAGTGGTGCATTTCAGATGCACTGGGTAACTGCTTCTTCTTTAGTTTACATTGCCCCCCTCTTTTTGTATTTTTTGAAAAGCCTGGGTCACATTTCACAGAAGTCCCAGTTTCTTTTTTTTTTCTTTATTACATTGCTACCACCTATTTTAGTCCCTGGCATATGGAAGGTTTTAATAATTATTCATTCACCTCAATGGCTTTTCCAAACTTTTTCATCCATTTTCTGATCTTGTACACCTCCCTTCTACTCCCCCACACCCTCTCAGCTGAGTACTTTGCTTCAGATTTCATGGGGAAAAAAAATTCAAGGCTATTTACCTAGAGCTCCCTCTTCTCCCCTCCTCCTCATCTCATATCACTCAGATGCCTTTTGGCAAATCTCCTTCACCTATGTTTATATGAAGAGGTGACTTTTTTTTCTCTGCCATGGCTAACTTTTCTACATGCACAAGTGAACACATTCCATGCTGGCTTCTCCAGCAAAGTGTCCCCTGACACATTTCTACTTTCACATTCATTTTCACTTTCTCCCTGTCTACTGGCTATTTCATTAATGCCCTCAAATATACCCATGTATTCACCATTAAAAAAAGAAAAAATACTCACTTTACCTGTCCATGCCCACTAGCTATTGTCTTTTATCTCTCCTCTTTTTATGGGCAGCCATCTTGAGAAGATTATAGTAAGTGCCTTCAATTCCTTTCTTCTCACTCTCTTCTTAAACTCTGCAATAAGGCTTCTAACTTCATCATTCAACTGATGCTATTCTGTCTAAAGTTATTAACAATCTCATAATTGCCAAGTCTAATGACCTTTTCTCAATTATCATCATCTTTGATCTATCTGTAGCCTCTGAGACTGTCAGTTAACCTCTTCTCCTTGACTACTGGCTTCTGATCTCTTCAGGTTCCCTTCCTGTCTTTCTGACCACTCCTTTCTCTTTTTCTGCATCCACATCCAGGTCACACCTACTAACCATGAGAGTCCCCCAAAACTCTGCTTCGGGCACTTTTCTGTCCTCTCTATGTATCATTTTGCTTGGTGAGCTCATTAGTTCCCATTGTTTCAGTTATTATTTCTATTCAGATGACTCTCAGGTCAGTTTGTCCAGCCCTAACCTCTCTCTCAACCTCCAGGCTTACATTTCCAACAGCCTTCAAGCATCTCAAACTGGATATAACAGATGTAATGAGTATAGACATATTAAACTTAATATTGCCAAAAATAAACTCATTATCTCTTTCCTCCCCTCTGAAAACTCTCTCCTTTTCCTAAGTTCCCTAATGTTGTCGAAGGTATCACCCCTCCCAGTCACCAGGGTCACAACCCAAATATCATCCTTGATTTCTTACTCTCTCTAATACCCTCCATACCATATCTGTCAAATCTTGTCATTTCTATCTTCATAACATCTGGCAAAAACTCCCCTCTTCTCTCCTGTGACACTGCAACCATCCTAGTGTATGCACTTAGCAATTCACATTTGGACAGTTACAATATCTTGTTGGTTGATCTGTCTACCTCAAATCACACCACTTCAATTCATTTTCTATATGACACTCAGATGACTCTTCCACAATTGCAAATCTGATGATATCAACACCCTATTTAATTAACTACAGTGGCTCTCTATTACTTAAATATAGAATCCTCTGTTGAACTTTCCAAGCCCTGCAAAATCTGACCCCTTCCTCCTTTTCCAGTTTTCTTATACCTTACTACTCTCCCCCATGACCCAATGACGCTGGTCTTCTTGCTGTTCATCAAAATCACACTCTATCTCCTGTCTCTTAGCATTTCCCTTGGCTGTCCCCCATGCTTGCTGAATTTCTCCCTCCTCCTCTTCGCCTACATGTATCATTGGGTTCCTTCAAGTCCTAGATAAAGTTCTATTATGCATAAGAAGCCTTTGCAGTCCTTCTAAATTTTAGTGACTTCTCACTGAAATTACTACAATTTATTCTAATATATATGTTCTTTGTACATAGTTTTTTGCATGTTTTCTCCCTTATTACACTATAAGCTCTTTGAGAGCAGAATCTGTCTTTTTTCCCCTTCTTTTTGTATCTTTATTTAGCATAGTACCTGATACATAGTAGGTACTTAATATTAATTGATTAATTCATTTTAAAATTTTATTTTATTTTAATTATTTTTTATTTATTTTGTCAAATATTTCCCAATTTCATGTAAAAATTTTGACACAATTTTTTAAAATATTTAGATCTAAATTCTTTCCCTCCTGCCTCTCTCCCTTCTTTGAGATGGCAATTTGGTATCAGTTATATATGTGAAATCATGCAAAATATGTTTCATGTTAACTGTGTTTCAAAAAAAAACAAAATAAAACAAAAGTAAAGAAATTTAAAAAAAAAACATGCTTCCATATACATTCAGAGTTCAGCAGTTCTCTTTCTGGAGGTTAATGATGGGTCCATTAGCATTGTCTTAGATCATGGTCTTGATCAGTGTATCTAAGTCTTTCACAGTTGATCATCCTTACAATATTGTTAACTGTTTACAGGTTTCTCCTAGTTCTGCTCACTTAACTTTGTATGAGTTTATATAAATCTATTTAGATTTTTCTGAAACCTGTCTGCTCATCTTTTCTTATAGCACAATAGTATTCCCTTACAACCATTATACCACAACTCATTCAGTCATTCTGTAGGTGATGGGCGTGTTGTCAATATCTAATTCTTTGTCACTACAAAAAAAGTTGATATAAATATGTTTTTGCACAAATGGATCCTTTGCCTTTTTTCTTTGATCTATTTGGTATCCAGATTTATTAGGTATTGCTGGGTTAAAGGATATGCACAGTTTTATAGCCATTTGGACATAATCTCACATTATTCTCCAGAATGGCTGGACTAGTTCACAACTCCACCAGCAGTGAATTAGTGTACCAATTTTTCCACATCTCCTCCAGGATAAATCATTTTCCTTTTGTATCATGCTAGCCAATTTAATATCTGTGAGGTGGTATCTCAGAGTTGTATTAATTGGAATTTCTCTAACAAGTTGTGATTTAGAGAGTTTTTATGTGACTATTGATAACTTTGATTTCTTCTTCTGAAAACTGCTTGTTCGTATCCTTTGACCATCTGCCAACTGAAGAATGACTCTTACTTTCAAAAATTTGTCTCAGTTATCTATACATTTAAGAAATGGAATCTTTTTCAGAGAAACTTACTATAAAATTTTCCCCCACTTTCCTATTTTCCTTCAAATTTTGGCTACATTAGATTTCTTTGTGCAAAAGCTTTTAAATTTCATATAATCAAAATAACCTGCTTTACTTCCCATAATCCTTTCTATCTCTTCTTTGGTCAAAAGTTCTTCCCTTATCCATAGATCTAATTGGTGCATTTTTTTCTATGCTCCCCTACTTTGCTTATGATATCACCATTTATGCCTAAATCATTAATCCATTTTGACCTGTCAACCAGATGGAGTCAACAGAGGAGGCAAGAGACAGGAGAGTCAGGATTCAAACAGAAGTGAGGGAAATGGCTTGCAAGCAAGGTCACATGTGCAGGGGATCCATTCCCCCCCCCCCCAGTGTGTGTGGGGAACCTGCCCTAGTGTGATTAGGCTGGGCCTGTTGGTGCTTGCCCAAGCTCAGGAAAGGTGAGAGCAAAGGATTATTGCTATGCCAAGTGTAGGGCACAGTTTGCTTGCTGGGTCTTAGCTTTTAGAAAAAAAAGGTATCTCTTAATATCTTGGCAGACCTTATCTTCTTATACAATGTAAGTTGTTAGTCACACCTTGTTTTTGCCAAACTACTTTTCAGTTTTCCCAGCAATTTTTGTCAAATGGTGAATTCTTATCCCCAAAGCTTGGATCTTTGGATTTATTAATCACTAGAT